GCCCAGGTTCCGCCAGCCAGTAGCCTCTCCTACCTTGCACGGGCTTCACAGGTTTTGCCAACAAAGCCACAAGCGGGGCTCCACGGGCAGAGCTCTGTGCCCTCCCCACCCCACCTCCCGGATTTCCCCGTGGAGCTGGTCTGCAGGCCTGGAATCCACCCCGCCACACTGCACCACTCTGCAGGTCGCTGGCACCTATTCTGGCTTCACTGGGACCCCCACCCAGGTGCACCACCAAAGCGACTCACAGACCGCTGCCCAGGTATTTTAGCAGAGAGTTCAAGGTGTTTTTGTAAGCCTCAACTGAGACGTGAATTTCTGCCCTGGCCCATTTCTGGCGGGAGCCACACGTCTTGCCTGGCGGGCGTGGGCGGTTCTGACCTCGGAGTCACCTTGCACGGTCTGCGTCCTCTGGGAACTTCACTCCTCCCAGGTGCCCCAATTTGGAGCTCCCCAGGTGCCTCCCACCCCAGGCTGCCCAATGGGCTCTCCCTTGCCCTGTCCTCCGTCTAGAGCCCCTCCCGATGACAGTCGCCACCCCCTCTCCTTCTCTGTCTAGAAGCTTGGAGAGCAAGAGCAGATGCCTGGGTTCAGGTTCTCAGGGATCTGGGTTCAAGTCCACCAGCCCCCACCTGCACTTGGGAGGAGAAAGCTGCTGCCTCTCAGAACCCGTTTCCTCCACTGCGAAGTGGAGGAGAGAACCACAGCGGGGGACTGTTGTGACCTATAACTCCAGCCAGTGGTGCACAGCACCCACAGACCCCAGACATCTTCAGGGCTCCCTGTGCCCCAGTCAAGCGCCAGGAGCCTGCAGGACCAGAGGGGGCCCCTGGCAGTGAGTGCACAGACCTTCAGATGGCTCAGACCTGAGGCCCAAGACCTGCCTGTCAGGACCGAGACACTCCTGCCTGGGGATGCTGGAGTCCCAGAAAGTGAGAAGCAATGGTCAGTGCCCTCTACTCTCCTTCCTCCCCCACCAGCACAAGTAATAATTATGCAAACCTCAGCTCCCAGGGCGCCAGGAGAAACGCCACAGGCGGAGGCGTCTCCCCCACCCTGTGCAGCCTAGGTCTCCCTCCTGGTCCCAGCCTCTTCCACTGCCGCTTTCAGTTACCCGGCTTTGTAGGGCAAGCAAGCGTGTCCGTTTCTTCTTTCTCAAACCATCTTAGCTGCTTTTTGATTGGTATTCTTCCATGTAAGAATGTAAGTACATTTATTGATTTCTTAAAAAAAAAAAAAAATAAGCCATTGAGACTCTGATTAGAATCACATTGAATTTATTATGTCCATCTGGGGAGAATTATGTGTTTATAACATTAAGTTTTCCTGTCCATTCTGTTGGGTTTGCTAAGTAAGCTGACATGTGATCTGCAAATGATGGCAGATGACTGTGTAAGGTGACCTTGGGAGCTCATTAGCTCCTCTCCAGGCATCTGTCTCCACAGCACTCTCCTTCACATTCAGAAGGCTTCTCTCCACCAGGCATGCCTTTGGCCAGTCCTGGGACATATTACTGCCCCTTGAGGGTTTCAATACTCTGTCCCACCTTTATAAAGAGCCCCTTTGTTAAACACTGCTACAAGTAACCTGCTCTAAATGTGGGTCTATCTCCTGCTAAGGACCCTGCTAGGTCTAAGAGTTTTCTCCCAGGAGAATTCAAGGAAGGTTTAATATCAGAGAGTTCAATCCATGCAAAAATACCATCTGAATAGATGACAGGGCAAAAAAGAGGGTCCCAATATCTCAAGTGATGCCACTGGTGACTTTTTAAAAATTTCTGAGCAAATTAGAAATTGAAACAAATGAAATATTTCTAATTTGACAAAATTCAATTCACCAAAAACCCACCACAAAAATACATTGATGGAAATAGCTGTTGCCAGGAGTTTGGGAAAGAGGAAGTGGTTGGATTGGTGGAACACAGGGGTTTTAGGGCGTGAAACTAATGTGAATGACACTGTAATGGCAGAGACATGACACTACGCATCTGTCAAAACCCACAGAACTTTACAGCAAGAGTGAGCCTTAATGTGGCCAGTTTTAAAGTTCAGTCAAGAGGCTGGAGTGTCTAGGACGGAAGACGAGACGTGTGTGGCGAGCCTCTGGCTGTAGTACAGACCCAGGAGCAGCCTCACTGGAGCGCTGAAGGGCTGACCTGGGCACCCTCACAAATGATGAAGTCTGTGAAACCAAAAGCAAATGGACCCGCACATGAGCCACTGTACCTGGTAGACAAATGCTTCTGCCGAGGTACAGGTGAGCAATTCTACACCATGGCCCTGCACAGTGGAGCTTATCGATCAGGTCAATGGATGGTGGGTGGTGGGGCAGGTTCGCCCCCACTGGCTGGGTCTTGAGCTACAGAACAAATGGGGCAGACTAGAAGCGACCCATTGCCGAGGTCAGGTCGAGACAGCAGCACCAGCTCCCGTGGAGGCTCCCCTCTCCATGCAAGCAGTGTGATGATTGACTTTATGTGTCAGCTCCCCTGGCCGTGGGGTGCTGGTTGGTTACTTCTGGGGATGTCCCAGGGTGTTCCGGATGAGAATAGTATTTGAATCAGTGGGCGCAAAAGCAGGCCCACCTGCTTTACAGTGGCATTGCAATCTTTGAGGACCTGAATAGCACAGAAAGCAGGAAGGTGAATTGCCCACTCTTCCTGCCATGCTGCTTGAGCTGGGACACTCACCTCACCTTCTGTGGCCCTGACACTGAGATTAATGCCATCAGCCCTCCAGCTCTCAGGCCTTCAGACCCAGACCACACTGCACCACCAACTTCCCTGAGTCCCAGCGAGTAGGCAGCAGGCGTGGGACCTCTTGGCCTCAGGGAGTTACCTGGACCCAGGCTTCAGCTGGCATTTCCCCCTGCTTGCACTTCTTTCTCCTGCCACCTTGTGAAGAAGGTGCCTGCTTCCCTTCCACCATGATTGTAAGTTTCCCCAGGCCTCCCCAGCCATGCAGGGCACAGCCAAGTCAATTAAAGCTTCTTTGTGGGCTGGGCGAGTTGAAAACTCACACCTGTAATACCAGCACTTTGGGAGGCTGAAGTGGGTGGATCAGTTGAGGTCAGGAGTTCAAGACCAGCCTGGCCAACATGGTGAAACCCTGTCTCTGCCAAAAATACAAAAATTAGCGAGGCATGGTGGCACGCACCTGTGATCCCAGTTACTTGGGAGGTTGAGGCAGGAGAATCACTTGAAACCAGGAGGCAGAGGTTGCAGCGAGATGAGATTGCACCACTGCACTCCAGCCTGAGTGACAAAACAAGACTCTGTCTCAATAAATAAATAAATAAATAAATAAATAAATAAATAAATAAAACGGCCTTTGTTTATAAATTACCCAGTCACTGGTAGTATCTTTATAGTAGTGTGAGAACCAACTAATACACCAACTATATTGAAATAAGTCACCAAAATAATAAAGAAAATGGTGTTATTGGATTTCTTGTTAATCTACTGATTCAGGCCGGGCACGGTGGCCCACCACTATAATTCCAGCACTTTGGGAGGTCAAGGTGGGTGGATCACCTGAGGTCAGGGGTTCAAGACCAGGCTGGCCAACATGATGAGACCCCTATCTCTACTAAAACTACAGAAAACAGCTGGGTGTGGTGGCACTTGCCTGTAACCCCAGCTACTTGGGAAAGGTTGAGCAGGAGAATCGCTTGAACCAGGGAGGTGGAGGTTGCAGTGAGCGAGATTGTGCCACTGCACTCCAGACTGGGCAACAGATAAAACAACCTACTGATTCAGATCTAGCAGCAGCTCTCATGACCAACAGTTGAAGAAGCAACAAAAATGAGGGTTCAAGACATCAAAGCAACTGAAACACAATGGGAAAATACACAAGACTTTGCTGACAGTGGAGTCCCAGGTCCTGTGAGACTGCCCAGGTCAGCTTTGGCCACATTCTCTATTGAGGAACTCACTTTAGGCTAGAGGTTGGTGGTGCCCGAAATAAAGATGCAACGTTTTCCATCAAGTTCAGGGACACCTGAATCCGTGACCAGTGGTTCTAGTTTAGAAACCCAGCTGTAGAGTTTACACCTGAGTGTGGTGATTACATCTTCACCATTTCCTGATTTTAGGAAAAAAAAAAAAAAATTGTAATCTGAACCAAGGTGGCCAGTCTCTCCCTTCCTACAGGTGTGTCCATGCCCTTGGAGAAGGTTATAAGGGAGTGGATGTGTTTTTTGACCCCAAGGGGCTCCTACGTAGTCCAGGCCAGCCTGGGGCTTGGAGGAGGGTGGGGCAGGCTGATGAGGAACTTCCTCCTGCTCAGCTTCCACCTGCACTGGCACCTGTGTGCCCCACCACCCAAAAGCCTGGGCCTCCACCTGCTGGCACCTGTGTGCCCACCACCCAAAGCCTGGGCCTCCACCTGCTGGCACCTGTGTGCCCACCACCCAAAGCCTGGGCGGCGGCCTCCACCTGCCCAGGCACCTGTGTGCCCACCACCCAAAGCCTGGGCCTCCACCTGCTGGCACCTGTGTGCCCACCACCCAAAGCCTGGGCCTCCACCTGCTGGCACCTGTGTGCCCACCACCCAAAGCCTGGGCCTCCACCTGCTGGCACCTGTGTGCCCACCACCCAAAGCCTGGGCCTGGAGCAACTCCACCCAGGCAGGCTTCACTCTCTTCCCTCTCACTGCTCCTCACACCCCAGCTGCAGCCCCTCTCCTCCCTCCTTGGTTCAAAGATGACCCCAACTCCCCAGGGGACTCTGTGGGATCTGGTTTGGTTTTCCTTTTATGATCCCTAAACCCACATCTTCACCTCCCAACTGGGGCTTCCCAAGGTTGACTGAGGAAAGAGCCCACATTCTGCATGATTCAGGCAGCAAAAGCACTTCTGGCAGGAACCCACATCCCTAAGGCAGGCCCTGGGGCACCTTGGGGGGAAAGACTGCGGCTTCAAAATCTCACTCCCCATGCTGCCATCTGAAACACCACCATGACAGATAATGTCTTAGCCTAGGGAGAAGCCACCTGTGCTGGCTAAAAGGGGGTCCCCAAGAGACCTGCCTGGACAGTGTAGGTGAGGTCATTGCACCCTCCTGCTGAGATGGTGGGCCTGCTACAGAGCCTGATGCCCCGAGGAGCTGGGACCACTGCCCTCCCAATACACATACACACACACACACACACTGACACAAACACAAACACACACAGACACAAATATACACAGATGTACACAAACACACACAAACACAGACACACACAGACACACAAACACACAGACACACACATACACACAGATGCAAACACACACACAAACACACACATACACACAGATGCAAACACACACATACACACAGATGCAAACACACAGAAACACACACAGACACACATACAGACACACACATACACACAAACACACAGACACACACATACACACAGATGCAAACACACACAAACACAGACACACACAGACACACACATACAGATGCAAACACACATAAACACACACAGACACGCACACACAGACACACAAACACATATAGACACACATAGACACACACAAACACACACATACACACAGATGCAAACACACAGACACAAACACACACAGACACAAATATACACAGATGTACACAAACACACACAAACACAGACACACACACACACACACAAACACACAGACACACATACACACAGATGCAAACACACACACAAGCACACACACACACACAGATGCAAACACACACATACACACAGATGCAAACACACAGAAACACACAGACACACATACAGACACACACATACACAGATGCAAACACACACAAACACACACACATACACACAGATGCAAACACACACAAACACAGACACACACACACAGACACACACACACAGATGCAAACACACATAAACACACACAGACACGCACACACAGACACACAAACACCTTATAGCGGGGGTCTCAGGAAGTCCAGAAAGAGGAGGGCGTGGACGGGGGTCTGTACCAGAGGCCTCCGCCACCCATGAAGCCATCGGGCCTGTGGGCCGCTCAGAGCAGGACAGGACTCCCTGGTCTAGAGGGCCCTTAGGCTGGGCTCCATGGGGTGCAGCAAGGCTGGGGTACAGAGCTGGGTCCCCACAGCCCTCACCTCCCTGGCCCTGTCCATCTAGCTCCTAGGCCACCTCACCTCCCTGGGCCTCCATTTCCCCCTCCATAGAGCAGAGGTGTTGACGGCTCTAGATGGGAAGACTAAGCCGGTCTGTCTTTGCAGAGTCCACGTGGTGGCAGCACAGGGTCCGTGCTCCACAGTCAGCATCCCGTCACATGGTGGAGGGGATGTTCTGAACCTCTCTTCGAAACTCACAGAACCTGGGGACAAAGCAGGGCAGCATCTTGTCATTGAGGGGTGGCCACAGGAGGGGCCCAGGGACCAGCACCAGGTACAGGAGCAGACCCATGGCCCAGCCAAAAGGCACCGGACACACTGGGCACGGCCGGGCCTGGGCTCCCTCTGACACGGGGCACCTGGACGGGTGCTTGAGCACAGCCAGGACTTCAGATGACAGCCATCTCCGCAAGCATCTGACCACGTGCGAGACCCCACCCCCAAGCTTCCCAAATTAGCCCCTCCTAAATGCCAACTCCAGAAACCATGAAATAATTGGCCGCTGTTTACGCATCGGAGTGGCTGGCCATGCAGTGAAAGGCACCAAGCTGCTGGCGCGCGCAGGGTCATCTCCCTGTGGCTCCCGCTGTCCAGGGTTGCCCCCTGCTCCCCTCCTGCAGGGCTTGTTCCCAGCAGGTGCGTCTTCCAGCTGGGCCTGGAGACCTGGCGCCACGCGGTGCAGCAGTGACTCTACAGCTCTCTCTTTTGTGGCTCTGGGTGCTCCCACCCGCCCCCCTCCCAGCTCAGCCTGGGCACCTTTCTCCTGGTTGCTGTGTCCCAGCACTCTCCCCTCAGGAGGCTTGGGCTGGCGGCTGTGAACATTTCCAACCGGGTGGTCCTGGCTCCCCACCAGGTTGTGTCCACCCCCTCCCACCATGGCTGCTCCCCACATTGGCTCAGGGAGCCCCTGAGGAGGTCCATGGGGTCCCAAGCCCACCGATGCCCACCACTGCTTTCAGCTTCCTCCTGTTCGCCAACCACCAGGTTGGTGGTCTCTTCCTTCCCACTCTGATTCTGTGTGCCAGGGGAACGTGCTGCCTCCAGGCTTTACTGTGGACTGTGTCCTCTGTGTCTCTGGTTGTGCAATCTCGGTGGCTCGTGTTTTACAAGAAGGTTGGGGAGAGCCAAGGCCGTGATCACTTCTCCCGCATCCTTCTCCAAATCGAGAGGTTACAATATTTAGCCTCAGAACCACAGTCGTCTCATGCTCAAGGCCTGTGGGCCAGGAATCCCGAGCTGGTGATATTGAGCCAGGAATCCCGTGCCGGTGGTATGCACTGTTGCTTTTCCAAACAGAAAAAGAAGAAAAACTTGTAGGCCAACCCAGTTGACTCCTTAAACTACCTCTTCGAAACTCACAGAACCCGGGGACAAAGCGGGGCAGTGTGTATATATAAAGTTGATAAACTTCAAAGACGGCTGTGAAGTCATGGAAATCCATGGAAGAACCCTAAATGCATATTCCTGAGTGAAAGAAGTCAGTTGGAAGAGGCCACATACTATATGATTCCAACTCTAGGACATCCCAGAGAAGGGGAAATTACGGAGACAGGAAAAGGACCCGTGGTTGCCAGGGTTAGTGGGGAGGGAGGGATGAATCAGCAGAGCACGGAGGGTGTTTAGGGTAGGGAGGGTAAACCGGTGCAGCCACTATGGAGACCAGAATGGCGATATTTCAAACAGTATTTCAAAAACTTAAAATAGAATTGCCACATCGTCTGGCCATTTCACTTCTGGGTATTCTCCCAAGAACTGAGTGCAAGGACTTGAACAGATATCTGCACACCCGTGTCCACAGCAGCATCACTCACCAACACCCGAGGGAGGAAGCAGCCCAGGTGCTCACGGATGGATGAACGTGGTGTATCCAGGCCAGGAGAGGTGGCTCACGCTTGTCATCCCAGCTCATGGAAGGCCAAGGCGGGTGGAGCGCTCGAACTCAGGAGTTCAAGACCAACCTGGCCAACAGGTGAAAATCCAGCAATACAAAAAATACAAAAATTAGCTAAACGTGGTGGTGTGCGCCTGTAGTCCCAGCTACTCAGGAGGCTGAAGTGGGAGGATTGCTTGAGCCCAGGGAGGTCGAGGCTGCAGTGAGCCATAATGGTGCCACTGCACTCCATCCTGGGCACCAGAGCGAGACCCTGTCTCAAAAAGAAAAAAGCGGCGTATCCATCAAAGGGAATATTATCCAGCCTAAAAAAAAAAAAAAAAAAAAAAAAAAAACAAGAGGTCCTGACAGAGGCTGCCACACAGGTCAGCCTTGAAGACATTACGCTGAGTGAAAGAACCAGACACAAAAGGGCATATGCTGTTTGACTAAGAGAGCGGTCAAAACCCCAGAGGAGCAAACAGAATGGAGGGTGCCAGGCTGGGGGAAGGAGGGTGTGGGGAGTTCGTGTTTGCTGTTTCAGAGTCTCCATTCGGGAAGGTGAAGAAGTTCCGGAGATTGGTTGCACAACAACGTGAATGTACTGACGGCCACTGAACTTGAACTGTACATTTAAACATGGGAAGATGGTGTGGGAACGACCCTCAGTCAGTCGGTCTGGCAGCAGATTTGATGCAGATGAAGAGGGAAGTGAGGCATCAGTAGGGAAGACTGTGATCACCCCTGATTGGCACAGATAGATAAGGAGCTGTTAAGGGGGTTCAGAAGAGGTTAAGACATAGGAGAGATGGATAAGAAGGTTTTCCATACTTCTGATCAAAATTCCAGAGGGGCTGGGCACAGTGGCTCATGCCTGTAATCCCAGCACTCTGGGAAGTCATGGCAGGTGGATCACTTGAGGACAGGAGTTCGAGACCAGCCTGGCCAACATGGTGAAAACCTGTCTCTACTAAAAATACAAAAATTAGCCAGGCATGATGACAGGTGCCTGTAATCCCAGCTACTCGGGAGGCTGAGGCAGGAGAATCCCGGAGAACCCAGGAGGTGGAGGTTGCAGTGAGCCAAGATCGTGCCACTGCATTCCAGCCTGGGCGAGAGAGCAAGACTCTGAAGAAAGAAAAGAAAAGAGAGGAGAGGAGAGGAGAGGAGAGGAGAGGAGAGGAGAGGAGAGAAAAGGAAAGAAGAGAAGAAAAGAAAAGAAGCCAGGCGCAGTGGCTCACGCCTGTAATCCCAGCACTTTGGGAGGCCAAGGTGGGCGGATCACAAGGTCAGGAGATCGAGACCATCCTGGCTAACACAGTGAAACCCTGTCTCTACTAAAAATACAAAAAATTAGCCGGGCGTGGTGGTGGGCGCCTGTAGTCCCAGCTACTCAGGAGGCAGAGGCAGGAGAATGGTGTGAACCTGGGAGGCGGAGCTTGCAGTGAGCCGAGATTGCACCACTGCACTCCAGCCTGGGCGACAGAGCGAGACTCCGTCTCAAAAAGAAAAGAAGAGAGAAGGAAGGGAAGAGGAGGGGAGAGGAGGGGAGTGAAGGGGAAGGGAGGGAAGGGAGGGAGGGAGGGAAGGAAGGAAGGAAGGAAGGAAGGAAGGAAGGAAGGAAGGAAGGAAGGAAGGAAGGAAGGAAGATTCCAGAGGAGCTATCGTGCCAAACAAATAGTGCACAATGCTGGTTTCTCGTTTTATGGGGGAAGCATTTTCTGCACTTCTGTGAGGCCAGCCGCAGTGCACCATTGAATAACGTTTCCAGTGGCATATACCACAAGCTGCCACCAGAGCTCCTCTTGGTCTTGTTCATGTGCTTGTTTTCCATATGTGCCTCTATGTTTTGTACAGAAAAAGAGTAAGATATTTGCCACTAGGCCAATGTTTGCTCCCCATGTGAGTGACATTGCCAATGGAAGAACACAGAGCCTCTTGTAGTCACGTCCTGATGGCCTCCGCCGCTGCGCTGGGGGCAAGGCCAGGGCTATGAAAGAGGCAGAATGGCAGCAGACCGGGCTCTAGGCTGCCCCTGCCCCTGGCCTGAGGCCTCTGCAGTGCCAACAGCAGAGGCCCCCATGGTGAGGTGCCGTGCTGCCAGGGCAGCCCCAGAGAGTTGACCCACGGCCACCAGCCCCTACAACCACTGTCCTACCTCCCGCAGCTACGCAGGCTCCTCCCACCGGGCTGCACACATTCTGCCAGGAGCCCAGCCCTGCTGCCGTGACCACTGCTCGTTCTCAGCTGAGAGCTCCACCTGCCGCCTCTGCCTTGGTCTTCTTTGACAAATTCAGCCCCATTCACCCTCCCCTCCCGGCAGCCTGTTAGTGGCTCTGGGGAAGCTGGCAATTGATTAACGATAGTAACAGATGACATTCATCTGCCCATCAGGTGAAAAACTCACCGCTGTCATCTTTCCTGGGTTTGACTCCTGTGGGCAGCATGGGGGCCTGTCTGACTGGGACCGCAAGTCCTTGGCTGCCCCCTGGCCTGGAGGTCTCCAAGCAGGGCCTCAGACAGATGTGAGACAGATGGTTTCCAGTGGGGGCCAGAAGGGCCAGCCTGAGCCTGACCAGACTGACCAGGAGCCCTGTCCCCACAGGCCAGCTGCTTTCCTGTGGACCCTCTCTGAGGTGAGCGGATCTCTGAAGGTGGGCTGGGTTCCCTGCCTTCACCTCCACCCCTGTCAGGCCCCCTGAATCCCACTGACCTGGGTCAGCTCTGCCACCTGCCCTGTTCTCTCCAGACCACTCCAGATTCTCGACTGAGCCACTGCCCCTGGTCCTGCCGTGGAGTGGACAGGAAACCAGCACGGGCTCCCCAGCCACCACCTGCGCCCACCCTGCCAGCTGCCCCACTGGGACCTGACAGGAGAGCCCACACTGGCGTGCCTGACAACAGCCATGACCTTCCTGTGCTAAATAGAAACTGAGGCCTGGCAAGGCCAGACACCTGACCGCCACTGGCCTGGGCCTCCTGACTCCCAAATCTGTGCCCCAGGGAAAGAGAAGAAAGAGGCAACCACAGCATGTTCCCCCATGCCAAGGTCTGTGTCTCTGCGGCAGGGCTCCTAAAGCTGGGACATGAATGAAACGTCTCTGTATGGCCGTTGGACTTTAAATGGGAGAGGGCTCAGCCCCACAGCAGCCCAGCCCAGCACCACCCCAGAGGGAGTTTCGAGATCAGTTGCCACGGCCAGGATGCACGCAGAGAGGGCCAACAGGACTAGGGGCTTCAAGCCAACAGCGAGGGGTGTTTTCTCTGCAGAAAAGCCCTCTGCTCCCCAGAGAGAAGCGTGCCTGCACCTGGGATCTGCTTTGCATGTAGAGGGGGGCAGTGGCCCCACACGGGGCTGACGGGCCAGAGTGCAGGCAGAGAGGCTGTGGCAAAACCTACAGCAGATCCCAGGATGCAAGCCC